TGAGCTTGGGCAGAGGGCCTGTTTCCAAACAATCACACCAACTGCAAGGAGCAGCAAGTGTCACCTCCATAAGAACTCTGGGCTACCCTTCTGGCCTTCAAGGGAAAGCTCAAACCCCAGAGCCGCTGCTAAAACAGAAAGATCATTCTTAGTTTTGATTCACAGAATCCAACTCTGCTCTCTGAGAGGTCTCTCCTTATTCAAACAGGAAAGGACACAAGATTCATCTTTTCTGTCACACACAGGAGGAGGAGATTAGAGATTGGCAAAAAGACTGCCTGTTAAATCAACATCAGCTGGAAAAAGACACCACTAATGCTGTGATGGTGCTAATGTGGTGTTACTGCTGGAACTCTCTAGAGAAAGGAAGACAGGTCTGGTGAAGGCAAGGGTCTTGAGGTACTTTCCCCACAAATATGCCATGTTATGCTTTCACACATTGTGCTGGCCAGATGTGGAAAAGGGATTTTAGAAGGAAAATGCACAAAGAAAAAGAAGTCTGTGATTACCACTCCAAAAAAGCATGGACTTACCTATCCAGTTTCTTGGCGAGGCTTTTGCTGGTTTTCACTTCCTGCAGGTACAGCTCTTTGTACTTGTCCACTGCTGGCTGTCTGGATTCTTTTTGAAAAGGTCTTTCTTGTTGGTTGCTTTTTGTCCTTCCCAGTGCACATTCAAGATCTCTAGTTCTGTCGTCTAACTGTTTTTTCAGGGAGTCAAAATGACTGCTTCTGATTTCTTCTAATGTGTCGTGGTAGGCTGTCTGTGCCTGAAGGAGACAGTGCACCTTCAACCACCACAAGAAAAAAAAATTTCTCCCCAGCAGAAAATTGCATAGACCCAAGTTCAGGGCTTTGCTCAGAGAGGCGGCTGTGCCTCCTCCCAAGCAGCAGCAATCAAGGCAGAACCCAGGAGCTACCAGGCTGAATAATTCTTCTCATTCAGAAAGAAGCCAAATCAGCACTCTTAGTCAAAGCTACCAATGGAAAGACACTGTATGTGCAGGACAGGGCACATCAAAAAGGATGCTTCAAAGACAATCAGAGCATCCCCACCTGCACCCCCTTCACCCCATCCCTGTCATTTCAGGGACTCCTTTTCTGAGCACTTTCCCCCCTACAAGGACAAAGCAGCACCCCAATGTCTGGACATGACAGCTGCAAGTTGCCAAAGCCATTGGAGGATGAGCAGCCAGAACCAGAGCAGGGGACAGAGATCCCCCCCAGGCACTGCCAACTGGGAATGTGCCTTGGGCAGGCTTTGGATTCAGGGTCCTGCCGGCACATCACACACCCAGCACTGCTGCCCAACCATCTGCCCTTCTCTCCCACTGCCTCCAGCACAGACAGAAGTGCAGCACTAACACACAGAATGCAGGAGGGAAAGGGAAAATACCAGATATCATGGCCACAGCAGAAGTTTACGTAGCACCCGTGGACACCGGTGAGAAATTCACTTACTTGCAAAAACTGATTGACCTCTTGTAGTTTTTGTGTTATTTCCTTGCTTGCTTGTTCTTCCACGACTCTTTTGCATTGTTCTGTTTGGCTGCCATCCAGCATGACATTCTCCCAATGATGGTGGAGTTTTGTCGCCTTTTCTAGCAGCTGCCATTTGCTCTTCTCCAGTTGTTCACACTTCCCACGCAGGGTGGACAGCTCTCCTTGCAAATCCTCATTTTGGGCTTCCAGCTGCATGCCTGCTTTAGGCTCCATGTCCAGTTGCTGGGAAT